AACTTCCTGACTGTGAGAGCCGTTCAGCAGTGGAACTCTCTGCTCCGGAGTGTGATGGAGGCTCCTTCTTTGGAAGCTTTTAAACAGAGGCTGGATGGCCATCTGTCAGGGGTGACTTGAATGCAATATTCCTGCTTCTTGGCAGGGGGTTGGACTGGATGGCCCATGAGGTCCCTTCCAACTCTTTGATTCTATGATTCTATCTTTAAACTTACTCGCCCAACGACACACAGTACTCATATCAACACAATCACCATAAATTGCTTGCATTCTCTGATGAATCTCCTTTGGGGTGACACCTTCTGCTGTCAAGAATTCAATGACTGCACATTGCTTAAGTCGCATTGACCGACCATCTGCACAGGGTTCCGTACTTCACACTTTAACAACACAACCGTTCAATGCTAAGGCTTCCTGCCAAAATGGATCTGTAGAGGAGAGTCTACTGAACAAGCCAGTACTGCCATCTGCTGAGGAGTTTCAAAGGTGAAAGCATTACTTTTCATTCAACCCTCATAAATACAGGCAGTCCCCAAATTACAAACATCCCACTTGCAAATGACTCATAGTTAAGAACAGGGATGAGATAACAGGAAGTGAGGGAAATCCACTTCTGAAAGAGTTATCATAGGGAAAAGATGTCTCCACTGAAGCTTTATTACCAATCCTTGTCTCCACAGCAAGCCAAATTTTTCAAAATACAGTTATCACAGGGACAGAAAGTGAGTTGACATCTTCTGAACAGACACATAATCAGTCTTTAGAGAGTCATGTATGCAGCTAAAGTAAGAGTTTTTTTGTGATGTGAAAATAAAATACCCTTGAAAAGGTTTTAAACTCTGAGCAGATCTGGTTGTTGTAATTCCACAATGGTAGCAACTGATGCAAACCCGTTCCATCGAATTTGAAAGAATACCTGTTTTCCTGAGCTGTTCCAGATGAGGCTGTTAAAATGCAGAATTTAATTCCATCCTTATTTTCTATTTTTAACCCTCTGGTATTTTGTTATGTCTCCGCTGACTTTTTTTTGTAACCAGTGAAGGATGAAAAGACAAAATAGCTATAACTAGGTGCTTTCGGTCTGGAAGCTCATAGTGAATTACAAGAAACTGGGCTCTTGTCTATGAGGAACAGAGAGAGTTGGTCCCAAAGCAAGTTGTTATTTCACTCATTGATATCCCACACTTTTCCGCAAGAATGGAACTCGTTACAGTACCGTTTACTTATAACCTCTGAGGATGCCTGTCATAGATGTGGGCAAAACATCAGGAGAGAATGCTTCTGGAACATGGCCATACAGCCTGGAAAACTCACAGCAACCCAGTTTACTTACAGTTTACTATTACAGATTGTAAGAAGCACAAGCATATAAAATAATAATAATAATAATAATAATAATAATAATAATAATAATAATAATGTTTAGACCCTGCCTCCATCTTCCCGAAGGGACTCGGGGTGGCTTACAGAGGATCAAGCCCAAGGATTACAAATAAAACAGATACAGTAAAAACAATCTATAATAACAAATAATAAAAACACTAAAATCAATTAACATCATAAAAACAATACCTTGGCTGGCCAATTTGAAACTGGGTTCAACTCAGAGTCAGTGCAATGATTGCTTGGGAACCACTGCATGTATGTGGGTATAAGTGAAATAATCTGTAGAATTAAAACCATTTAAACTTCATTGGAAGTCAATATTTAAAAATTCATAAGTATGTACAATGATGTCCAAATTAAAATTAATTGTGCTGTTTTATTAGATTCTACTGACATATCCATGCATGTGTTCCAAATGCTTGCTCAGGACTTCTGGAAGTTGTAGTCCATCCGACCCTTGAACATAAGACATATTGATGAATCCCATTGCTACATTTATTCTATAGTCTGTCTTTTTCCTCCATGATGTTTGACATCTTGATTATTGTTATTATATGATATCCAAGCATTCCTATAAAATGTTTGCAGTACATTCACACCATGTGCCTGTTCATAACAACGGAGGGAAATATATGGCACTGTAGATGTTCTTGGGCCTCACCTCCCATCAATACAAGACTGGGGCCCCATCTACACTGACATAGAATCATAGAGTTGGAAGAGACCTTGTGAGCCATCCAGTCCAACCCCCTGCCAAGAAGCAGGACAATCGCGTTCAAAGCACCCCCAACAGATGGCCATCCAGCCTCTGTTTAAAAACCTCCAAAGAAGGAGCCTCAACCACACTCCGGTGCAGAGAGTTGCACTCTTGAATGGCTCTCATGGTCAGAAAGTTCTTCTTAATGTTCACGTGAAATCTCATTTCCTGTAGTTTTGAAGCCATTGTTCCGCGTCCTAGTCTCCAGGGTAGCAGAAAACAAGCTTGCTCCCTCCTCCCTATGACTTCTCCTCGCATATTTATACATGGCTATCATGTCTCCTCTCAGTCTTTTCTTCTGCAGGCTAAACATGTTGGAAACTGCTTTATATGGTCAGTTTCAACTCATAATGGTGTTCAGTGCAGTTATCATTCATTAGGCAGCTTCAAATTGCATTATATGGCAGTATTTAGTTATTTATCATGTCAGAAGAAAATTGAGAATACAATTATAATGCAGAAAAAACTACAAAGTTGGCATTCTGCTAGCTGACCACTTCAAGTACCTCTGGTGTCGCTGTAAGGAGGCCCTCCATTGTGCATGTGGTGAGGCTTAGTAGATGGTCTGTGGTTTGCTCTTCTCCACACTCGCATGTTGTGGACCCCACTTTATGGCCCCATTTCTTAAGATTGGCTCTGCATCTCGTGATGTCAGGTCGCAGTCTGTTCAGCGCCTTCCAAGTTGCCCAGTCTTCCGTGTGCCCAGGGGAGTGTTTCTCATCCTGTATCAGCCACTGATTGAGGTTCCAGGTTTTTACCTGCCACTTTTGGACTCTTGCTTGCTGAGGTGTTCCTGCGAGTATCTATAGATGTTAGGAAACTGTTTCTTGATTTAAGTAATTGACATACTGGCTGATATCTAAACGGCTGGCCAGAGGTGACAATACATTGGTCCTTTCATTGCTGGCTGCTGCTTCCCGGTGGATATCAGGTGGTGCAATACCAGCTAAACAGTATAATTTCTATAATGTCAGTATAGATGGGGCTTATGAGACAGTTCTATGAGATGATGGAATTATAATCCAACTGGACAGAAGTTTTCCCATTTCTACTTTGAAACATCTCATGAGCAGTTCATCAAATGTCTAAACACGATCTGTAATTTGTCATTGCTTGGAAATCCTAAGAATTTATGTTGCATGAGAATATGAACAAACCCCATATATATAGAGAGAGGGAGAAGAATAAAGTAAATGTCTATGTGCCAGGTCAGACTGGTCTAAAACCCAGGGCATCTGTCTATTCTGACTGGCAGTATTTCTCCAGGGTGTCTGGCAAAGAGGATATCTCAGTTTCGGCATGGGAACTGTGAACTACATCTCCTAGCAGCATCACTCAATATCCGCAATGGTGAGGAATGCTAGTGTTGCAGTTCAGCAACTCTGGAGAACCACCCAATTCCCACCTCTGTTGCAATTTCAGATATTTGAGTCCTTCCGCATGCAAAGCATGTGCTCGCTTACTGACCTGAGGCTTCTTTTCTGTCTCATACAATTCCAACAATCCATCAAGGCGATGAATGGGTAGCAATTCTGCTTTTGAATGGATGCTTCTATGGTCATCTGATGCTTTCTGTATAGAAGTGTCAAGCAACAATGTCCTTCAGAGAAAGAAAAACAAGGCATCTCAATGGAAATCAAGACATGTACATGCTATACAGTCATACCCGCCAACTGCCCCGATTTGGCAGAGTGAGTCCCAATTAAACTGTTATCCCACTTTTCCAGCTGCTTTTAAAATGTCCTAATTTCTTCTTCCTCCCACTTCCCCCTTTGTCTTCAACTTATTCGCAATTCCCGCAAAATGAATTCAAAGTACACAAGTAGTAAGCAGGGAGGAAAGAACAGGATGAGCAGTGTAGACTAATATAATCCAATTCAAAGCAGATACAGAAACTGGATTATATGACATTGTAGATCCAGAGACTACAAAACCTTCATGGCAGCCTAATTAGTAATGAGATATGGTGGGAATTGATCTGTCAGAATTTAAAGCACAATTAAAGACTTACTTATTTATTTTATTTCATTTATATTCCGCCCTTCTCACCCCACAGGGGACTCAGGGTGGATTACAATGTACATATACATGGCAAACATTCAATGCCATACACTCACAATGTATATAGACAGACACATAGAGGCTATTTAACATTCCAGCTTCATTAGGGTATTCTGGCCACCAGAGGAGCTGTCACTTCACCATCCATTTGTGACACAGATGAAGTATTTCCTCATTCTTTGCATGCTTGCTGGAGATTTTTATGGCGTCATAAATTAGCCTCCCTACATAAGCGGTACCTACATTTCCTACTTGACAGATGCAATTGTCTTTCAGGCTGCAAAGGTTGACAGCAAGCTTCACAAATTGCTCAGAAGCTCCCTCTGACCCGGGCTGGCTTCAAACTCATGACCTTCGAACTCATGACCTTTGGTCTTTAGTGATCTTAATGCAGCTGACTCCCAGCCAGCTGCGCCACAGTCCCGGTGCTTCTTTCGCATTCTATGTTTAATGTGTTTGACCTTTTGTTTCATGTATTTTAATATGTGCTTTTATGGTTGCATTTTAACTATATTTTAGTATATGCTTTTATATACGTATTTGACTATGTTGTGCCCTGCCTCGAGCCAAAAGGCGAGATGGCCAATACATAAATAAAAACTATTATTATTATCCTCATAATGATTATTACCATTATTATCATTATTATTAAATTGCAATCCCTACAATACCTAGAGAGCTGGTATTGCCTACTCATGATTCAGTGGTCCAGTAGCCCAATCTTGCATGCCTTCGAAGTATGGTGGACTTGGCAAGGGGTCCTGGTGTCTAATCATCTCTCTCTTCTTTCTTGCAGCTTAAGATTTCATTCAGTGAGAATCAGTTGGAAAGGACCTTCCAATACCCATCAGAAGGCTCGCTATTGGAGGAATTTGGGCCTCCTGAGGAGTCAGACTCCCTGACCTGCACCAATCCCCATGGGGATGAGGAAGAGGAGGAGGAGGACCTGCTGCTGCTTCATCGTGGCCTCCCAGGACTGCTGAGGACCAAGCCCCTCATTGTGGGTGAGTACTTGGAAGCCCGTGGAGATGCCCACACCACAGTTGGCTATGAAAACACTGTAACTCTTCCTAATACCATAGCAAGTTCAGGCAATCACAGCAATCACAGATTGGTGGAAACAAGTTATTTTGCTCAATGTATTGTCAAAGGGTTTCATGGCTGGAATCACTGGGTTGTTGTAGGTTTTTTGGGCTATATGGTCATGTTCGAGAAGCATTCTCTCCTGACATTTCACCTGCATCTATGGCAAACATCCTCTGAGGATGCTTGCCATAGATGCAGGTGAAATGTCAGGAGAGAATGCTTCTAGAACATGCCCATATAGCCTGAAAAACCTACAACAATCCAGTTACCATATTAATAATAATAATAATAATAATAATAATAATAATAATAATAATAATAATAATAATCTTTATTTATACCCCAGCACCATCTCCCCAAAGGAGACTCGGGGTGGCTTACATGAGGCCAAGCCAAGAAATGCATTACAATACAGTAACAAAAAAACATAAGACAATATCATAATAAAATAGAATAAGACAAGCATAAAATATAACAAACATTACAAAATAATACAATAGAAAATCAAACACAATCACAATGAGCAGGCAACATGGGTAAAATACAATGATAAAAACTCAGGATGAGATAAAAATAAAAACCTATATATTTGTAAATGAGACTCATGAATGGAGTAGTAGTGACAATCCTTCATACGGACAGGATAATACTGTGTAACACAATTTTAGTTCCTGGTTTATAAATGTCATTTCCTAATTGGTTCTATCATTTAAAAATGGAAAAAGTGTAAGGTAGTAGAGGTAAAGATTTTCCCCTGACATTAAGTCCAGTCGTGTCCAACTCTGGGAGTTGGTGGTCATTTCCATTTCAAAGCCAAAGAACCAGCATTGTCCATAGACACCTCCAAGGTCATGTTGCCTGCATGACTGCATGGAGTGCCGTTACCTTCCCGCCGGAGCGGTACCTATTGATCTACCCACATTTGCATGTTTTCGAGCTGCTAGGTTGGCAGAAGCTGGGGCTAACAGCAGGAGCTCACGCCACTCCTCGGATTTGAACCGGTGACCTTTTGGTCAGCAAGTTCAGCAGCTCAGCGATTTAACCCACTGTGCCAACGTGCGGAAAGTGTATTGAACTGCAAAAATTTAGTTATCGCAAGAGGGACATCCTGCAGCTATCGTTTTTCAATGAATATCTCGTAGAGTCTCAACCAATTCAACATTGTTTGTAGCAGCCACAAAAACAAAGTTTCCCTCCTTTTTTCCCTTTCTTTATTTTTTCTCTCCTTTTTGTCCAATCCCAACAATAACCTCCTTCTCCTCAACTCTCCTTGACCCATTCCTAGGTTCAAACCCCTTCTCATCCCCAACCCCCTTAGATACCACCCCTTCCTTCTCCCACCCTTTTTAATCTTATCCCCCCTTTTTAAAATGTCAATAAAATTATTAACCCAAAATAAACAAAGTTTCTGGAGTATAGCATCTGCTTTCAAAGTAAGTACTGCACAATTAAACAGGAGTAACACTTTCAACCCAGGAACAGAAAATGTTTCAAATTTTGTAACATAGTGTATTCCATAGAGGGAAAAAAAGCCTTGTAAGTTAGTTCTTAAAAAGAACCGAAACATTATCCTACATATAAGACACAGGCACATATGGTGAAGCATATTTAGCCATTATTTCGGTTTTAAGAAACCTCATGGGCCATCCAGTCCAACCCCCTGCCAAGAAGCAGGAATATTGCATTCAAATCACCCCTGACAGATGGCCATCCAGCCTCTGTTTAAAAGCCTCCAAAGAAGGAGCCTCCACCACACTCCGGGGCAGAGAGTTCCACTGCTGAACAGCTCTCACAGTCAGGAAGTTCTTCCTCATGTTCAGATGTTCTCTCCTTTCTTGTAGTTTGAAGCCATTGTTCCACATCGTAGTCTTCAGGGCAGCAGAAAACAAGTTTGCTCCCTCCTCCCTATTACTTCCTCTCACATGACTATCATGTCTCCACTCATCCTTCTCTTCTGCAGACTAAACATGCCCAGCTCTTTAAGCCACTCCTCATAGGGCTTGTTCTCCAAACCCTTGATCTTTTGGTTGCCTTCCTGTCTGCTCTAATATCTTACTTTACTTACTTTACTTTTACTTACTTTGCTTTCTCATGCCTCTTTTTTTTTTTTAATTAACTAGAACTACCTTTTCCCTCTTTATATAGGCTTCTCTTATAATTAATCTCCTTTCTTGTAGTTTGAAGCCATTGTTCCATTGCCATCCTAGTCTCCAGGGCAGCAGAAAACAAGCTTGCTCCCTCCTCCCTATGACTTCCTCTCACATATTTATACATGGCTATCATGTCTCCTCTCAGCCTTCTCTTCTTCAGCTAAACATGCCCAGCTCTTTAAGCCACTCCTCATAGGGTTTGTTCTCCAGACCCTTGATCATTTTAGTCGCCCTCCTCTGGACACATTCCAGTTTGTCAATATCTCTTTTCAATTGTGGTACCCAGAGCTGGACACAGTATTCCAGATGTGGTCTGACCAAGGCAGAATAGAGGGGTAGCATGACTTCCCTGGATCTAGACACTATACTCGTACTGATGCAGCCCAAAACCCCATTGGTTTTTTGTTTTTGTTTTTTGTTTTGCTGCCTCATTACATTATTGGGTAATGTTTAACTTGTCCATGAGGACTCCAAGATCTTTTTCACATGTACTGCTCTCAAGCCACGCATCCCCCATTCTGTATCTTTGCATTTCATTTTTTTCTGCCTAAGTGGAGTATCTTGCATTTGTCACTGTTGAACTTCATTTTGTTAGTTTTGTTAGGGTTCAGGTGTGGCAGGCTCTGTTGTAAGCATACCATAGAATCACACTGGAGGACCTAGCAAATGCAAATCTTATATACTGTAGGGTGATTCTTCCAAGAATTCCAGAATTGGAATGAGAAGCAAAATAGGATTATTTTAAACAGGCCCTTTCAAAAAAATCTCATATTGACACTCCATCTAGTGGCCCTTTTTGAATACTACAAGAGCCCTTGGTTCTGTCTGTGGTTTTGTGGAGTGTAGGTTGTGCCGTACACAGACTAGAACTTGGAGCAATGGGTTCAAACTATAGGAAAAGAGATTCTACATGAACATTGGGAAGAACTTCCTGACCGTACAAGCTGTTTGACAGTGGAACTCTGTGCCTTGGAGTGCAGTATAGTCTCCTTCTTTGGAGGCTTTTAAACAGAGGCTGGAAGGCCATCTGTTGGGGATGCCTTGATTGTGCTTTTCCTGCATGGCAGAATGGAGTTGGACTGGATGGCCCATGTACACGGGGACTGTAGCGCGCACCAGACCTGTGATGCAGCTGGCTGGGAGTCAGCTGCATTAAGATCACTACTGACCAAAAGGTCATGAGTTCAAAGGCAGCCCAGGTCGGAGTGAGCTTCCGACCAATTTGTGTAGCTTGCTGTCAACCTTTGCAGCCCGAAAGACAGTTGCCTCTGTCAAGTAGGAAATTTAGGTACCGCTTATGCAGGGAGGGTAATTTATGATGCCATAAAAATCTCCAGCAAGCATGCAAAGAATGAGGAAGTACTTCATCAGTGTCACAAGTGGACGGTGAAGTGACGGCTCCCCTGGTGGCCAGAATACCGTCATGAAGCTGGAATGTTAAATAGTCTCTATGTGTCTGTCTATATATGTTGTGTGTGTATGGCACTGAATGTTTGCCATTTATATGTACATTGTAGTCCACCCCTAGTCCCCTGTGGGGTGAGAGGGGTGGAATATAAATACTGTAAGTACGTAAGTAAATAAATAAATAAATAAATAAATGTGGTATCTTCCAACTATTATTCTAATGGCCTTCCTCTTCTTCTTTCCAGATGAATCCTGTCGGCGGTAGCCCCGTGCATCTTCCTCCGTCGCTGGGAAGGGTGGCTCACACATCAATCTTCAGGCCATACTCTGAATTCTTCAATTGGACCTTAACTTGATTCCATCTTCCAGTGACCGCAAACCCCATGGAAAGAAGCAAGGACCAAGAGAGACTGGGAAATCCTGCCCTAGGGCTTTGGATGCATTTATTCCTTTGGGACGAGAGCAACGGTTCTGAAAATACCTTTCCCTGTTTGGTATTTTTCACTTTGGATGACTCTGGCACTGAAAACAGGACCTCAGAGATACCCCCACTCCCCCAAGACTACCTTGAAATAGAGACCGCAGCATAACCCTAGGAGATGCTGCCTGCTTCCAATGGTAGAGAGGAGTTCTCGGCCACACGGGTTTGATCCAGAGACTCCTTTTCCTATCCCTACACACTGCCAGCCAACACAGAGTCCGGTGCCAACAGCAGCTTAAAAATATATATCTTTTTACCACCAGCAGGGAGAAGCACTGAACTTTCTGAAGTTGGCTTTTGCAAACAAGGGCTAATGTTGTTATATCTTTCTCTTCCTGCTATCATCCAAACCACATTTGATACCCCCATTGGGCTGAGTGACTTTCTGTAATGCCCAGATCTACTACCTTTTTTTTTCTTTTTTGGCAAAGAATATGGGTATATCAAAGTTTTAAAGAGAGTGAAGTAAAAACATTTCTGTTAGCAGCCATATGAGTGAAGGGATAGTAGATGTAGGGAGTCTATAGCATTAAGAGAAACACTTAGCTTGCATGTGGCATAAAAGTATGGAGTAAAGACGAGGGATTTCTGGTTGTTCTCGCTCTTTCTCTGTCAGGGCCCTTGAACATTGCCATATAAAATCCAGACTATGGCTTCAAACTACAAGAAAGGAGATTCCATCTGAACATTAGGAAGAACTTCCTAACTGTGAGAGCCGTTCAGCAGTGGAACTCTCCGCCCCGGAGTGTGGTGGAGGCGCTTTCTCTGGAGGCTTTTAAACAGAGGCTGGATGGCCATCTGTCGGGGGTGCTTTGAATGAAATTTTCATGCTTCTTGGCAGGGGGTTGGACTGGATGGGCCACTAGGTCTCTTACAACTATGATTCTATGATTATCTGCTTTCAACTGGATTATATGGCAGTATAGACTCAGATAATCCAGTTCAAAGCAGATAATGTGGATTATCTGATTTGATAATCTGGATTATATGGCAGTGTAGAAGGGGCCTCAGTCTCTAAACCAGTGTTTCCCAAACTCTGGTCTTCCAAGTATTTTGGACTTCAGCTCCCAGAATGCCCAGTCAGTGATCAAAACAGCTGAGACCTGGGAGTTGAAGTCCAGCCATTGCTCAGTCTAAGCTATTCTGGACGAAGGCAGACCAGTATGGTTCTAGTTCTTAAAGCAAAAGCTGTGAGTAGGCATGCAACTGGGCAAAACTGGGAGGGTCTCTGGGTATTCTTAAAATAGGAGCACTTGGTATTAAAGCATGGAACTGGGAAAAATGGGAAACAGCTCTCTCTGCATGTGGGTAGAGCTAGTCGCCATTTGGGACTGTGTATCCCGCCTTTTTTCCTTTTTTTTTTTTTTACAAAAAATTAAGGCAGAGGTAGTTGTGTTAGTGACAACCAGACATGTTTTTGGATGTATAAAAAAGGGGAGGCAGGAGTGTGTGGAGATGATCCACAAAGTGGAGGCAAGAGGAAAGGACAACTATCTGTTTTAATCATGTTTGTTTCCTGTTCAGGGTTGAGATTTCATGTGTGATTGGATGAGCGAATGGCACGAGATTGGATGAAAAGCACCTGGTGAACTGTTAGAAAATGAAGTGATATTTTGACACACACATATATAAATCCTGATGAGTTACTTGCCATTTTTCACTGCATAGTATTTTGAAGTATGTCAAGGCCAAACTAGGACTGGCTTTCCAAAAATGGAGAATAATCAGTTTCAAAATACAGCCTGCCCTTCACTTTTGGGGGGGGGGGGGGGGTTTACAGACATAGGGACTCCATTATAGTGAAAAAACATGAATAAAATGATTGCTTTCTTTCTTTCTTTTTTACTGAAAGAACACCTCAGGAGATTTTACGTCTTCCAGCATTAGTAAAGGTAAAGGTTTCCCCTTGACATTAAGTCTAGTTGTGTACAACTCCGGGGGTTTTGTGCTCATCTCCATTTCTAAGCTGAAAAGCCGGCATTCTCCTTGGACACCCCCAAGGTCGTGTGGCTGGCATGACTGCATGGAGTGCCATTACCTTCTCGCCGAAGTGGTATCTATTGATCTACTCACATTTGCATGTTTTTGTTACTGCTAGGTTGGCAAAAGCAGGAGCTTACAAAGGGAGCTCACCCCATCTGTGGATTCGAACCACCAACCTTCTGATCAGCAAGTTCTGCAGCTTAGCAGTTTAACCCGCTGCTCCACCATGGCCCCATGGTTTTCCAAAAGGCTTAATAAAATAGCTGTGCGGGGATTCTGGGACTTGCAGTCTCCCTTAAAAAACCTTTTTCAAGCACTTCTTTCTCCTTTAAAAAAGACCATTTCAAATTAGCTATATCCACTGGAGGCTGGCCATAGAATTGCACTGGAGGACCTAGAGATTCTTAGAGAGGTGTGCTTTCTAGAATTCTCTAGGTCTTCCAGCATGACTAGAGGAAATTGACAACAAACCCATATTAAACAGCCTAGAGATTCCTGGAGAAAACATTTGTAATAAAAATCTGTGAATAATCAAATTTATAAAAGTCAAAACTGCAAATTTGGAGGAATAATTGTGCTGACAACTTTCCAAACCTGAGGACAACATTTTGGGGAATTTCAGAGAAGAGATCCTTTCATCAGTGCAGGGCAGATAGACTGAGTGATGGAAACGGAGGCAATGCAGCAGATTCCTTGGCTCATCTGACTGGTTGCAGACAAATGAACCAAGTATAGTTGCCTTTGATGTTTGTTTCTCAATGTGGCACTAATATCTGTCCAATGAAGGCAATAATGACCTACGCTAAGATAAACAGGGAAGCAAAGGCCAGGTGGTGCATTCTGTTTGCCAGTTTCCTTAAGCATTATCAGAAGCCTTGGTTGGCTTGAAATATAACCACATCATTAGCCATTAAAAAAGTCGAAAGACAAGAGGGTAGTCTATCGTAGGAGATCCAGAAGGAAGCACTTTTACTGCCCACTGCAGTACCTCTTCTGTCATTTTTGGAAATGGCAGGAGTCCAAAGCAGTGTGGTGCTTTCCTCACTGCACAGAATACCTCTCAACTTCTCTACGGTTCATATCAGAAACTGTAATTTTGGCCCTAAAACGTGTTCTCGACTTATACATGAAGTATATATGGTACTCCCGGGACCATTCTGTGCAACTGACAATGCAATTCTGAAAAATCAATCAGCTTGAATGGGTAGTGTCTCTAAATCCTTGAGTGGACATTCCCCAGATTGGAGATATGGCACACAACTCATCTACAGGAAAAATATGGAATGGGAGAATTGATTCATTCTGCATGTATGAGAGCCGGAAATGATGTTGTTAGGAGCAGATGTTGAATGGATTCTGGAATGAGAGGATGGGAAGTAGGAACGACTGGAAGGAAGAGGCACAGGTGGGAAGGAACGAGGCAAATTTTCAGTTCCTTCTCTCTTTCTCTTCCTTGCTAATTTATCTTGTCATTGTGCATCATTTTTATTATCATTTCCCCATTTATTTTGCACTGTGGGATCAGCTATGCCTGGCGCCCATGAATGAGCGAGTGAATGACTGAAGATGGAGACCATCTGTTCCTCTGAGGAGGAAAGGACATTTGTGAAGATCAGTGTGTGTGGGCCAAGGGCTGAAGCAGCTGCGTCCAGCCATTTCCATCAGTGTTTTTTTATATGTAATTATTATTGTCGTTGTTATTAACAATAAACCAGAATGATGTTGCACGTTGAACTAGTGCTCCTCTGTTGTCTTGTTTGTTAAAGGGCAACTTAAGATCACAAACTTCCTCTGAATTGTGGATACTGGGAACAGAACAACAGGAAAGTCACTTCCCTTGTGCTCTACTTCATGCAGTGTTTGAAATAAAATACTTAGTGAAAGACTTTGCTTAAGCAAAGCAGATCTGCTTGTTCTGGTTATTGTTATTTGCAGTCATTTGGCTTCATCTTATAACAACCCTATGAATGAGAGACCTCCAAAGGGCTCTGCTCAAGTCTTGCAGACCTATGCCCCTTCTACACAGCTGAATAAAATCCCACATTTTCTGCTTTGAACTGGAATATATGGCAGTATGGACTCAGATAATCCAGTTCAAAGCAGATATTGTGGGATTTTCTGCCTTGATATTCTGTGTTATAGGGCTGTGAGGAAGGCCACTCAGTATTCATCTACACCAGGGTCCTCAAACTAAAGCCTGGGGGCCAGATACGGACCTCCAGGCTCATTTACCTGGCCCTTGCTCTATGTCAATCTAAGTCTGAAATGACTTGAAAGCACACAACAACAACAATCCTATCTCATCAGCCAAAAGGAAGCCCACAGTTTCCATTGAAATACTAATAAGTTTATATTTGTTAAATTTGTTCTTCATTTTAATTATTGTATTGTTTTTAAGTGGGTTTTTTGCACTACAAATAAGATATGTGCAGTGTGCATAGAAATTAATTCATTTTTTTCTTCAAATTATCATCCGGCCCTCCAACAGTTTGAGGGATTGTGACCTGGCCCTCTGTTTAAAAAGTTGCTGTGGTATCCTGGGAATTGTAGTTTGGTGAGGTAGAAGAAGAGACATCTAAAGACCTTGTAGAACTGAGCCATGGCAGTTGAAATGAGGGCAAACTGCATTAATTCTACAATGTAGATGCACCCTTAGAGTCATAACTTCCTTGATTATATCAAACCCCCTGTAGTGCAGTCTTCCCCTTTTTCTACTGCCTCCCACTTTACTCAGCATCTTTTTCTATGGGGCACATTATCAAATTATATGTTCAAAGTACAACAGTCTCAGTTTAGTCTTGTTGTCGCCTTCTGAGAACTCTTCTTATACTTTTATAGATATCTTCACTGCATTCTGTTAAGGGGAAGAGGAATTTAAATTTCTGAAGTTATTGAAGAATCAAAAGATTTCCTCCTTATGCAAAAGTATGATTCTACTATCACTTCTCTGAGAGGTTGTGCATTCATTTAGTATTGTTAGGAGGGTTGAATGAAAAGTAATGCCTCCACCATTGTTATTTGGGTTTGGATGGGAATATTTTAATAAATCAAATGCAGAAATAATCCTTAGAATGTGCTCTTTACCTACCACTATTCACTTTTCCACAAAATCACCAGACAATTGGGATACATTTCTGCCAACGATGAACAAGTTTTCTGAAGCTCTCAGGGAAGAAGTCGAAACTCTGTTTCCGCAACCCATTGTGCACAGATCTTCCGACAGCCAAGCTAAAGCAATAATGTGATCCACCCGTTACTGCAAAATGCCGATTATGCTTGAAATTTCTCTCTGAATGATATGACAATCATCCTGAATCAATCTGTCAACCTTTTGCTTGTGAAACTTGGTGGTTGATGTCCAACGCTTGGTTTGTCATGCAAGTCAGATGTTCCCACCTCAACATCTTTAAATTTACTCACCCAACGACGCACAGTATTCACATCAACACAATCACCATAAACAGCTTGCATTCTCTGGTGAATTTCCTTTGGGGCGACACCTTCTGTTGTCAAGAATTCACGTTGCTTAAGTCGCATTGACCTACACAGACTTCCATACTTTGCACTTTAACAACACAGCCGTTCAATGCTAAGGCTTCCTGCCAAAATGGAACTGTAGAGGAGAGTCTACTGAACAAGTCAGTACTGCCATCTGTTGAGGAGTTACAAAGGTGGAGGCATTACTTTTCATCCAACCCTAGTATGTTTTCTGTTTTGCCCATTGTGCTTAAAAAACAAAAAACAAAAAGATAGCAGGCAGAAATGAAGAAATGCGTCTTATAGCTGTTTCTGAAACTTAAGAGTGAGATCCATTTGCCCTTGTAGCTTTTTCTGTGCACCAGAATGAGGAGCAGTGTTTATTTATTTATTTACTTATTTACTTTACTTCTATACCGCTGTTCTCAGCCTGAAGGCGACTCACAGCAGTTCACAGCACATAGGAAACAGCAAAATTTAATGCATCAATAAAAAACAATTAACAACCCATCTAATACACAGTTAGCACACAATTACTATAATAACCATCCAATAACGTCTCATCACTAAAAACACGATCCAAATCCGTGATCCATTGTTCCATTCCTATGTCATTACCAATCATTGCACTAACTACTCAAATGCCTGCACAAACAACCAGGTCTTTACTTTTTTGCGGAATGCCACTAGAGATGGTGCTAATCTAATGTCCGTGGGAAGGGCGTTCCACAGCCGGGGAGCCACCACCAAGAAGGCCCTATCTCTCGTCCCCGCCAGTCGTGCTTGTGAAGCTGGCGGGATCGAGAGCAGGGCCTCCCCGGAAGATCTCAAAGTCCTGGTGGGTACATAGGCCGAGATGCGGTCGGATAGGTAGCTTGGGCCGGAACCGTTTAGGGCTTTAAAGGTCAACACCAGCACTTTGAATTGAGCCCGGTAGCAAATCGGTAGCCAGTGGAGTTGGCGCAACAGGGGGGTTGTATGCTCCCTGCATTCCATTCTGTTTCTAGACTATTTTTTTAATATTGGTAGCCAAATTTTGTCCATTTTCATGGTTTCCTCTTCTTGTTGAAATGGTCCACATGCTTGGCTAATCAAGCTGGCCAACTGCAACATTCACACTTGCCTCAAACAGACAAGAGACTCAAATATATAAGTCCCACTTGCCCTTCGCAGGCATGGGCAAACTTGGGCCCTGCAGGTGGTTGCTTGGACTCCAACTCCCAGAAGCCTCAGCTGCCTTTGCCAGTGAGCAGGCATTCTGGGAGATGAAGTCCAAAGTCCAGAGGGAGGCCTCAGGGCTCTATGGCTGATCAATCTATAAGCCTTCCCCTCAACTGCCCAATCCCAGCGCGCCATAGGCAGTTGCCATGACAACCGGCGAGCCACTCATTGAGAAGGACCGTCCCGGAAGGTAAGGCACTCTAATGTCCCTCTCAACGACCCGTCGCCACAGTGGCTGAAGCCCGAGCGCGCGGATTGGTTGGCGGTGCACGTGCCCGGAAGTGCTGCCAGTGAGGCGAAGGAGGCGATGGCGGGGGAGCTGGAGCGCTGGGTCTCCGGGCAGCTGCATACTTTGCTGGGCCTCAGCGAGCGGCATGTGGTGGCCTTCCTGGTGGGCCTGGCCACCCGAAGCCGCACTCCCGAGGACCTCCTCGCCCGCCTCGAAGAGACCGAGACCCTCCGCGTGAGCGACCCGCCCGCCCGCGCCTTCGCCCAGCAGCTGTGGGAGCGGGTGAGCATGTCAATCACTCGACAGGGGCGGGGCTTAGGTAGAAAGGGGCGGGGCAAAGAGGCAGGAATTGCATGCAGTTTGACAACACTGTGTATGTATTTCTCATGGCTAAACTCTTCTAACACTAAGASWCTCTTCAATTTATTTCTAAGGCTAAGGCTATKTATTTACTCAAACTATTCTTCATACTGGKTTGTTGTAGGTTTTTTCGGGCTATATGGCCATGGTCTAGAGGCATTCTCTCCTGACGTTTCGCCTACATCTGTGGCAAGCATCCTCAGAGGTAGTGAGGTCTGTTGGAACTAGGAAAATGGGTTTATATATCTGTGGAATGAACAGCGTKGGAGAAAGRACTYTTGTCTGTTGGAGCTAGGTGTGAATGTTTCAACTGGCAGCGTTGATTAGCATTTGATGGCCTGGCAGTGCCTGGGGMAATCTTTTGTTGAGAGGTGATTAGAAGTGCCTGATTGTTTCCCCTCTGTTGTTTTGCTGATGTAATTTTAGAGKTTTTTTTAATACTGGTAGCCATATTTTGTTCATTTTCATTTTTGTTCATTTTCATGGTTTCCTCGCCCCTTTCCCCGCCCCTTTCCACCTAAGCCCCGCCCCCTGYGCCATGATTGACGTGATCCCCTCCCGGCGGCTCACCCGCTCCCACATGAACAAAATTTTCCTAGTTCCAATAGACCTCACTACCTCTGAGGATGCTTGCCATAGATGCAGGTGAAACATCAGGAGAAAATGCCTCTAGAACAGGGGTCCTCAAACTAAGGCCCGGGGGCCAGATACGGCCCTCCAAGGTAATTTACCCGGCTTTCACTCAGGGTCAACCTAAGTCTGAAATAAAGTGAAAGCACACAACAACAACAACAACCCTAACAACAACAACCCTATCTCATCAACCAAAAGCAGGCCCACACTTCCCATTGAAATAATAAGTTTATATTTCTTAAAATTGGTCTTCATTTTAATTATTGTATTGTTTTTAAGTGTCCTTTGCACTACAAATAAGATATGTGCAGTGTGTATAGGAATTCATGTTTTTTTAAAATTATAATCTGGCCCTCCAACAGTTTGAGGGACTGTGACCTGGCCCTCTGTTTAAAAAGTTTGAGGACCCCTGCTCTAGAACATGGCGATATAGCCCGAAAAAACCTACAACAACCCAGTGATTCCGGCCATGAAAGCCTTCGACAATACATATTCTTCATACTATTGTTATTTATTAAACAAATGAAATCAGGTCCCTTGTCCCCTTCGCTCCCCTTCCTCCTTTTTGTGCTTTAGGAGCCTAACAGAATATAATATAATATAAATACTGTAAATAAATGTAAATTAAAAAATAACTGACAATAAGGATTCTAGCCCATATGTGCAAACCGATGTGCTTCTTTTCCTTTGTGCCTCCTTCTGGGCAGATTCCCCGCCAGGCACCGCGAGAGCGCCCGGCCAGAGCAGCAGAGCAGGAGGCCTTGGCCTTGCAGCAGAAGAACCGCTCTTACACTCTGCTGGAGGACAGTGACGAGGATGAGCCTGGCGAGGCAAAAGCAGCCCGGGGCTCCAAGCGTCAACATCCTCCGCGGGGCCCTGAAGGCAAACAGCGGAAGCGACACAAACACCTGCGGCAGCGCCAGAAAGAAGAGGACGATGACAAAGACTCTGACGAGAAGGACAGTGGAGGAGACAGGGAACGGTGAGCCTCCATCACTTTCAGAGAGATTGGGTTTGGGTGAGGAGCAAGTGAGATGACAGGCCTCATTTTTGTCATTCGTGCTGCAGGAAACAGGCTGCATCCACCATGAAGGAGGAAGAAGAAGAGGACGAGTGGGATCGGAGTGAGCGAGAGCGGTTGCAGGACTTGGAAGAGCGGGATGCCTTCGCAGAGCGTGTCAAACGCAAGGACAAGGAGAAGACACGCAATATCCTAGAGCGTTCAGACAAAAAGGTTTGGCCTGAGCTTGCTAATCTTGCTCCTGTTACTGGGAGACCTTTCTGATTGTTGCCTATTGTCACGTCACCCGTCTATGATGGGAATCATCAGATCGTAGCCCTGGGGTGCATGCAACCCCCCAGGGCTATTTTTCCAACCAGTCTAACTTCCTTGGATTGTTTTTCTTGTCTCCAAGGAACTTGAATTGAAACACGTAGTACCTCCAAAAATGGAAATATGTTTAAGGAACACCTCCTCGCATGCAGTCTAAAATATAACAATATCATTATTTTCAAAATCAGAAGTGGATTTTTGGCCACTTTCAGATTTCTATTTTCTGTTTGCATTTTTATGAAAGCAGAATCATGATAAACAGACAGTACTATTTATCAATTTATCAACGTTACTGGGTATCAATAAATCAAGGCAATTTAATAGCTCTTAATCAGAGATGGGCTAATTTTTTGCTCCTCAATCGCTGTTTGCATTTTTGCTCAGAGTCCTAGTTTCCAGAGCAGTAGAAAACAATCGTATTCCCTCTCCGTATGACATCCTTTGACATATTTAGATATGGCTATCATGTTTCCCCTCAATCTTATCTTCTTCAGACTTAAGATTCTATAGTTGAAAAAAGCTAATTGAAAATATACATAAATATGAGCTAGCAAGAACACCCTCTCCATCACCTTTCTCACTGAGAATTTTACTGACATCCTGTGGAACTGTTTGATAATTTAGTCCACAGTTTTGAAAACATTACACTCAAAATATCATAATAATAAACAATAAAGCTATTTGGTTTTGTTTGATTTGTATGTTTATGTGTTTTATTTTCCAATTGTGTCAAACGTAGGCCTACGAAGAAGCTCAAAAACGTCTGAAGATGGCAGAAGAGGACAAGAAATTAATGGTAATTTCCTTTCCTTGTTTTTATACAGGTTGAAACTCCTTTATCAGGAATCTTTGGAACTAGATTGTTTTTGTTTTTCTTTCATTCTTTTTCCTTTCCTTTCCCTTTCTTTTCTTTCCTTTTTTTTCTTTTTGAGTTTGGAATACGAGTTACAAACATTTGAATGACCCATGATTACAAATGGGGATAAGACAATAGGAAGTGAGTGAAATCTACCCCTCGGAAGTGAAATTCACTTCTGAAAGAATTATCGTGGGAATAAAATGTCTTTCCTGAAGCTTTATAACCAATCTTGGTTTCCACAACAAGCCAAATGTTTCAAAATCCTATTATCACAGGAACGGAAAGTGACGGGAAATCTATATGGAGTTACACTTGAAGAATTTTTCCGTTCCGACTTACATACAAATTCAATTTAAGAACAGACCTACAGAACCTACCTTGTTCATAGCTTGGGCGTTGCCTGTATCTGTAATTGCATATATAATTGAATAGGGGAAGGGGCTTCTACATGTGTTCTGCTCAGGCAGAACTGAGCAGCTGGCAGAAAAAGTATTTCAGATTTTGGGTTTTCAGATTAGGGAGGCTCAACCTGTAATTAAATTACGGAATTGTGACATAGATGAAGTTTCAAGTATCCTGATAAGCCATCGATTATTATTTGTTTGCTAACTTGGATAAGAGTATCGTATTTCACTGTGTTGTGTTTGCCACCCCACAATTGTTGCACAATTGTTTTTTCGGTCTCAAAATTCGAATTTTCCTTTTCTCGTGTAATCATTGTAGATAGTTTGTTAAGAACCCAGAGCTGTCCTTCCTCCCTCCTCTTTGTCTTGGGGGTAAGACAGCTTGGTTTTTTAACCAGAGAATCCAAGGCACCCCCTTTTTCCTTTCAAGGCATACACACACAACTATTATAGGAAGGTATAAGGTAAACTAGGTAATTTTTATCTTGGTTCATTGAACATTACATTGAGAATGTGCTAGATAATTATAGTTATTGGCTTATTATATTTAACAAACTGTTTTTAAATAAAAATACCAATGTTTTATTTATATTGTGTGCCTTCAATGGGCATCTTAAGTAGTGGACAAGCTACTTACCCAGAGGAAATATTGTTCCCTCGTGAGAGCCTTGTTTAATGCTCTTCAACAGGAAATATTATGCAATTGAGACTAGGGATCAAAAGGAGAATTTTCAAAATTCTTGCTGTTTTGTCTGACCCATGTAACTTCATATTTTCCTTTTCTTCCTGGCAGGTTCCAGAGCTGCGGAAGAAGTCTCGCCGGGATTATTTGGCCAAACGGGAAAAGGATAAGATAGAGGACTTGGAAGCAGAGATAGCAGATGATGAATACCTGTTCTCTGAGCAGGAGCTCACATCCTTGGAGAAACAGGAGCTGGATTACAAACGCAAAGTGCGTGACTTGGCGAAGCAGTACAAACAGGCCGGAGAGCAGGAGAAGATGGAGAAGAGCAATCGCTACTATATGCCTGAGGAAACTCGCAGCAAGGTAGTCATTGTGCACATGATCAAATCAGGAGCCTAGTCTCCTTTGAGGGATGATTACTGTAATGCATTAGGTGATAAATTGCATGTATTACGTCTTTGGATCAGTCCTAGTATTCTACATTGAAAGGATTTCAAATAGAAAGATGGAGTGAGATCTTTGTGTGCTATGCTGGAGGCCAGTTTGGATGAGATGATTGGCATTTGGGCCCAGGTATAGATAAAGATCTGCCATTCATGCAAGGAAGGAGTGTGAAAGCAATTAAATAGAGCCTGCAGTGAACAGAGATTGGACCCAGTGGGGTCTCTCCTACACCTGGGTGGGATTGATGGATGTTGTAGTCAAACATCTGTGAAATGCATCATGATTGAGAAGCATACTAATTTGTGTGTGTGTGAGTGCCTTGAGCGACTTCAGAAAATGCAAGTTGGTGTGAGAGAATTGGCTGTGTGCAAGGACATTGCCCAGGGGATGCCTGAATGTTTTACCATCCTGTGGAAGGCTTCTCTTATGCCCCCGCATGGGAACCTGGAGCTGACAGACAGAAGCCCACCCCACTCCCTGGATTCGAACCGCTGACCTTTCAGTCAGCAGTCCTGCCAGGACAAGGGTTTAACACACTCCACCACTGGGGGCTCCTAGTGGCCTAATTGAACTCCAGCATCATAGAGACCCAAAGGGTCATTCAGTCCAACTCTGACCATGCAAGAACACACAATCAAAGCACTCACATCTCTTCCAACCATGATGATTCCATGACATGGCAAAATTTATACTGGGTGCATTGCACCACCAGATCAGCAGCAGATGCAGACAGATATGATACCTTTTGATCAAGTGACTCCTGAGTATATTCTATTGCAAAAGTGGGTATAGGAATTCTTGAGATCTTTCAGTAAAATGAATATTCAGATTCACCAATACATAACATTTGTTCACAAACAGAATGCCTTTATCCATTAGCAGGTTGTGTTGTGTGCCCTCCTACACAACAGGCCACATTTTATTTATTTATTTATTTATTTGCCGTATTTATATACCGCCTTTCTCAGCCCAAAGGCGACTCAGGGCGGTTTACACTCAGCACAGTTTGATGCCCCCCAACATATAAAATACAATTAAAAACATAGCATATAAAATATAGTTTCATAAAAAGTCAATAAAATCATACATCCTTAATGTCTCCTTACTGAAATCACTATTCAATTGCATCATCAGTCGTTCCATGGTCTATCATTGCCTGTTACATTGAGCTTGCAAATGCTTGTTCAAAACCAGGATTTTAACCTTTTTGCGAAATGTTAAGAGGGAGGGGGCTGATCTAATGTCCCTAGGAAAGGTGTTCCACAGCCGAGGGGCCACCGCTGAGAAGGCCCTGTCTCTCGTTCCCGCCATGCGCATCTGAAACGGAGGCGGGACCAAGAGCAGGGCCTCAGATGATCTTAAAGTCCTAGATGCGCCCAGTTGATTTTCCCCTACCTTCTCGCTTGTTTTGATGCTGTGAGTTCTGTGCAAAATCTCATGACATTATCTCATTCTAGGGCTACACCATTTGCATTAATAACACAGCTTTTTTCAGTTGGTCACCTTTGGGTCTGTCAGGCAGAGACCTCTTCCAGAAATCTCTCTTAAAATTCAAAATTGTGTTTTGTCCTTCAGAAAATCCCCGATCGTTATGAGGAGCCCCAGGCGGAGGATCATTTGGCCCCACGTGATGAGCAGCGGCGCTGGGAGGAAGACCACATTGGGGCAGCGGCCCTCCGCTTTGGGGCTCGGGATGCTGGCCAGCGCCATCCTCACAAAGACTATGAATACGTGCTGGAAGAGGATGAGATGATCCAGTTTGTGAACGCTGTGCAGATGAGGGGCACGAGTCAAAACAAGGTGAGGCACCAGCACTCTTTGGCACACAAAGCGATTAAAGACCATATAAAATGACAACTCCCATAATTCCTTAGCCTTGAACCATGACAGTTGAAGTGCTGTAAAACTGCATTGATTCTACCCTGTAGATGTACCCTTATTTGTTGGGGATGTACCCTTATTTGTCGTACCCCAGTTCTGCTCTGCATCTTTGCCTCCTAAGCTGTGAATTCTTTACAGCCACATCACACAGCACTTCACGCTCTGCTCGCGAATGAGCTGATGCTCAACTTGTATATCTTGTTCGTTTTTGGATGCTCTGCTATATTTAGTGTAGTTTTTCCTAACAATCTGCACCACTTCCCTTTCTTTCTTAGGCCCAGGAAGAGAAGCCGGAGCTGTCGGAGGCTGAGCGCAAGAAGCTCTCCATCCAGGAGGTGCGCCGGAGCCTGCCTATCTTCCCCTACCGCAAAGATCTTCTGGCTGCCATTGCCGAACACCAGATACTCATCATTGAAGGGGAGACCGGCTCTGGCAAGACCACTCAAATCCCCCAGTACTTGTTTGAAGAGGTAACTTGACAAGAATGAGGGGAAATATTGGGGCTGAGTAAGAGACCAGCACTGCAGCTTGCTAGGAGAAGGGCATTCCTTGCCCCTTCACCAATGCCATAGCCTGAATCCTATTGCTAGAATAGATACATCATATTTAGACAACTGTTGAATAACCATCCAGCAATTGATTCAATAGCACTACTGTAAATATTTTTTCCGTGTCAGGAGTGACTTTAGAAAGTTGCTTCTGGTGTGAGAGAATTGGCCCGCTGCTGGGAAGTTGCCCAGGGGACACCCAGATGTTTAACCATCTTGTGAGAGGCTTCTCTCATGTCCCTGCATGGGAAGCTGGACCTGACAGACGGGAGCTCACCTCATCTCATTGATTTGAACCTCCGATCTTCAGGTCAGCATTCAGTCAACACAAGGGTTTAACCCATTGCGCCACCGCGACAACTAACCAATACGATCTCATGTATCATGGGAATGCTGCACCAAGAGCATCAGTAAGAGGGTGTTCTTTATCCATATTCAATGGCGTATGTTTGGCAGCATTGCTCTGCAGCTGGGTTCCTCTGACGCAGTAAGTCTCTCCTACCCGTATTTCCCTGAAAATAAAACCAGGTCTTGTATTAATTTTTGCTCCAAAATGACATATTAGGGCTTTTATGCTCTGGTCAGCTTATCTTTGAGTATATATGGTAGTTGTTTTTTCCTAAGCAACAACAGCATTTCACTCCCCAGACAAGCATTCTGATATACTTACCATAATAGGTTTTTGAGTACAGAGGATGAGAATATTGGGCATTTTCTCTCTTTCCCGCAGGGCTATACAGAAAAAGGAATGAAGATTGGCTGCACCCAGCCCAGGCGAGTGGCGGCTATGAGTGTGGCTGCTCGGGTTTCCCAGGAAATGGGCGTTAAGCTTGGAAATGAAGTATGTGCTCAGAGGATTGATGTATTATTTCTAGTCCTATCAACTAGTCCTATTATTTCTAGTCCTATTCATCCTTGAACTAATTTCACAACATTCAATAACACTATTCTGTTCCTGAATTGAAGGAATTATTTCCTGTTCAATTGTACGCTACTTGCTTTGACTGTCATTGTTATACTCCAGAAACTATGTTGCATTTGTTGAAACTCTGAGATAATTATTGAAAAACTATATTTATTTATTTATTTGCTTGCTTACTTACTTCATTTATATACCACTTTTCTCAAACCTTAGGTGACTCAAAACGGTTAGCAACAGCAAAGATTAAATGCTAAACATCATAAAAACAATTAAGGGACAGCTAAAACAGTAGCATAATAAACATCAATATAACATCAATATAACAAATCATTAGCGTCTCATCAGTAGAATCAAAATCCAATCTCATCATCCATTATTCCATGTTCCTATATTCATTACACTGCCTAATCAAATGCCTAGCAATATGTGCTGCGGGATGTCCCGCAAAAACAAAGGGACAATTTAGTAACCACGCTCCGTGCAGTCATGCCAGCCACATGACCTTGGAGGTGTCTACAGACAACCCCGGCTCTTCGACTTAGAAATGGAGATGAGCACCAACTCCCAGAGTCGGACATGACTGGACTTAATGTCAGGGGAAAACCTTCACCTTTTACCTAAACCTTTCCCATGTTTTTATGATAGCATCAGTTAAGAAATGACATTTATGACCCAGGAACAAAAAATGTGTCACATAGCAATAATCCCTGTAGTAGAAGCCTACCCAAATAGTATTAAAGATATTTTGTTGGCACATAAATGTTTGTGCTCACATACACAGGAAGGGTCCAATCTTCCCTTGGAATCAACTTCAGAGAGATAATAAATATCCTTAACGTAACTAGGAGGCAAATTTTGTGCTTGAAGTCAGCTCTCCATATATCTGTTCTCACTTCTCTCTGTCTTTAGTTTGGGTTTAGTTGGCTATTACACCATTGGTGGGCCAGACCAGGTGTTTCCTTATCTCATTCTCATGGGGGCTTGAGTTCAGCTTCTGTTGGTTTGAAACAGGAGCAAAAATATGTCAGGTGCTCCTCTTTTGCTCCTCTCTCTTTTTATCCCATTGGGAGCATGTTGACTTCAGGCAAATAGGCATCTTGTCCAAAAGACTTCTCAGTGTATAAGGGCTTTGTGGTAACCTGTGTCTAAAATTCCCCAGGTGGGCTATAGCATCCGGTTTGAGGACTGCACCTCAGAGCGGACAGTGCTGAAGTACATGACGGATGGGATGCTACTAAGAGAATTCCTCACTGAACCTGACCTCAGCAGCTACAGGTGAGCAGCAACACTGGGCTTAGCTGTGAGGAGGTAGGGAAGGGCTGTCTCCTCTCTGCGTCACCCACCATTGCATTGTCCTCGTGTGGACATTTTCTCCTTCAGGTTCATCCAGTCGGCTTTCATTGCTTCAGACAGGGCTGATCTGTTTCAGATCTGAATCTGGTTAATCCATCTCCACTTTGGACCTAATACGAATTGGTGTGATTCACCCTGGTTCATTATGATTCACTTTGGGTATAGAATCATAGAGTTGGAAAATACCTCATAGGCCATCCAGTCCAAACCCCTGCCAAGAATCATTCATTCAAAGCAGCCCCGACAGATGTCCATCCAGCCTCTGTTTAAAAGCCTCCAAAGAAGGAGCCTGTTTGGGTAGGTTAGGGAGAGTGATGAACTTCTCATTTGGTCCAGATATTTAGGTTTAGACAGGGCCGGGCTTTAGCACAGCAGGCTAATCACCAAGCTGCAATAAATCTTGCCAACCATAAGGTTGATAGTTCAGTGCCCGGGTCAGGGTGAGCGCCTGACCTTTCAACCCAGCTTCTGCCAACCTAGCAGTTCAAAAACAATGTGTGAGTAGATAAAGCAGGGAGGTATTTTAGGCACTGTGGGAGGAAGTTTAAGTAACAAAGAAAAATTCCTACCACATGTTGCTGTGGCCCAGTCTTGAAAATAATGAGAAAGTGTTCATTTCTAATATATGTAATTTCTTTATGCTTGTGAGTAAATAGTATTTCTTGTTGTTTCTTTGTCAGTGTTGATGTGGAGATTGTCTGGTTTGCCCACCCTGGAACGCGCAACATATCATTGTCCTTCTTTAGGTGTTCCTTTCAAATCTATTATACTATATCTCTGTGTGTGTGAATCATATCTATCTATATCTATGGTTGGATGGCTCTTTGTCAGGAGGGCTTTGATTATATTTTCTTGCCCTGGTGAAGGGAGTGGGGTTGGATGGCCTTAAGTATTTTCTGTTGGTCATGGGGGTTCTGTGTGGGAAGTTTGCCCCAATTGTGCTGTTGGTGGGGTTCAGAATGCTCTTTGATTGTAGGTGAACTCTTCCCAGTAACTACAACTCCCAAATGTCAAGGTCTATTTACCCCAATCGCCATCTGTGTTCATATTTGGGCGTATTGAGTGCTTGTGCCAAATTTGGTCCAGATCCATCATTCTTTGAGTCCACAGTGCTTTCTGGATGTAGGTGAACTACAACTCCCAAACTCAAGGTCAATGCCCATTAAACCCTTCCAGTATTTTCTGTTGGTTATGGGAATCTTGTGTGCCACGTTTGGTTCAATTCCATCATTGGTGGAGTTCAGAATGCTCTTTGATTGTAGGTTAACTATAAATCCCAGCAACTACAACTCCCAAATGACAAAATCAATTTTTTTGAATGATGGTCACTCCTTGGGTTAGTAGGTGTCTTGTGTCCAAATTTGGCGGCAATTCATCCAGTGGTTTTTGAGTTATGTTAATCCCACAAACTAACATTACAGTTTTATTTATAGAGATATATATCTATGCCCACATATACATATGTATGGCCTGTAACAAGATGCCTCCCTCTGTGCCTAGTGTTGGGCAAGTCATAGTCTGCCTCAATAGAATGGATTCACTGTTAGACAACTTCCATATGAACACAATAAAGTTTTCAAAGTGACACTGCAGATGACGGGCTCTGTTGCAGTGCTGTCTATTCAGGTGTATCACCTTCCTGGCCTTTTTCCTAGTGTCGTCATCATCGATGAGGCTCACGAGCGCACTCTGCACACAGACATCCTCTTTGGGCTGATCAAGGACATTGCTCGTTTCCGGCCGGAGCTGAAGGTGCTGATTGCCAGCGCCACCCTGGACACGGAGCGCTTCTCCACTTTCTTTGATGACGCTCCCATCTTCCGCATTCCTGGGCGCAGGTTCCCTGTTGACATCTTCTACACCAAGGTCAGCCGAGATGGCATTGGAGTGAACGTATGTGGGAAAGAGAGAAAGTGGAGAGTCACATGAGAAATCTGAGAGGAACACTGGCCAGAAGAATAATGTGGTTCTTAAAAAGTAAAGCAGTAGCTTGATAACACAGATTTTCAGGAATGTTATGTGTCTATGGTCAGAAGTATCAACATGATGGGGTGTACCACCATGTTGACACTTCTAACCTTCCCTATTGTTTACTCTAGCCATGGACAAACTTTGGCCCTCCTGGTGTTTTGGACTTCAAGTCCCACCATTCCTAACACCCTCAGGCCCTTTCCTTTTCCCCCTCAGCCGCTTAAGCAGCTGAGGGGGAAAAGGAAGGGGCCAGAGGCTGTTAGGAATAGTGGGACTAGAAGTCCAAAACACCTGGAGGGCCAAAACTTGCCCATTCCTGGTTTACTCCACATCAAAAGGGATCTGATGGAGCTATGATCTATGGAGAAAATGCCAGGGGTTGTGGTCCAGAGCAGGGAATGAGCAGTGCATTGGGAAGTTACTCCCTTACTATCCCTGACTGTCACCCCAAAAGGTAACTTTTGCAGGTTCTATGAATGAATGCCCTAAGCATGAAAGAGTGGAAAGCCATGGGAAAGCATAGATAGACTTGTGTGAGCCAATAAAAGATCACTTGATGGTTCTCCTTCCCTCTGATCCTTGTCTCCTAGGCTCCGGAGGCGGACTATCTGGAGGCCTGCGTAGTGTCAGTGCTGCAGATTCATGTCACTCAGCCTCGAGGAGACATCCTTGTCTTCCTCACTGGACAGGTAAGCCGCCCTGTGCGCCCCTCTGCCTTGCTTTGGACTTTTGTTCCTTTTGGCGCATGCAGCAGAGCCAAACTTCTCTTCTTCTTCGTAGGAAGAAATCGAGGCCTGCTGTGAGATGCTGCAGGATCGCTGCCGCCGTCTGGGGTCCAAAATCGCAGAACTCTTGGTTCTCCCAATCTATGCCAACCTCCCCTCTGACATGCAGGCCAAGATCTTTGAGCCAACCCCACCAGGAGCCAGGAAGGTAAGAAATGCCTGCGTGGGATCAAGGAATAAAGTTGCAGCTGATTTGGGGTGGATCTGTATTAGATAACGGCAGGACCGGGGGGTGGGTGGGGAGAGCATTTTTTTGTCCCAGGATCATACAGAACCATATATACTCGAGTATAAGCCAAGTTTTTCAGCCCTATTTTTAGACTGAAAAAGCCCCCAGTGACTTATACTCAAGTCAATGTTATTTATTATTTTACTCTATTATTATTATTATTATTATTATTATTATTATTATTATTACATGTATTATTTTACTCTATTATTATTACATGTATTATTTTAGTCATTTACTATTACATTTATTATTTTACTCTATTTTTATTATTACCTTTATTATTTTACTCTATTATTACTGTTATTACATTTTCATTATTTTACTCTATTATTTTGATTACTGTTATTATTTTACTCTCATTATTATTGGAAGCATACGTAAGCACATTTACATTGAAGAAAGTTAGAATAATGGTTTAATCAGACTTGGACAGTCTTATCTTAAGTTACAGTTTCATGTAAATATTCAAAAACATTTAACCTTAATATGTAATTTTATTGGTATCTATTTTTAAGCGGCTGGGGGGTGTGGGGGCAAGGAAGGGGCCTGAGGCTGTTAGGAATGGTGGGACTTGAAGTGCAAAATACCTGGAGGGCCCATGCCTGGTTTCCTCCGTCTGGCAAGATTACAGACAGAGGTTTTCCTCAAGCATGTTGTCTAAGATGACTACAGGGCCCATGGTTAAGGTAGCAGTACCTTCCATCAGATCATGTGCTCTGCCTTTCAGCCCTTCTTTGTATATAAGTTTCAATGGTGGCAGATTAATTGCATCCTGTCCCCGTCCCATTCCACATATGTGTTTCTCTTTCCTTCTCTTTCTCCAGGTAGTTGTCGCTACAAACATTGCAGAGACCTCTCTGACCATCGACGGCATCATCTACGTGATCGATCCTGGCTTTTGCAAGCAGAAGAGCTACAACGCTCGCACAGGCATGGAGTCGCTCATTGTCACTCCCTGCTCTCGGGTACCCAGCTTCTGTACTACTCCCCACTCCCCACATGGCCTGGTTTTATGTATTTTGTGTATTTTAGTGTTCACTGTCCACAGACGTTCATTGCAATTTTTGTTAAATCGTGACTTCCTCTTATTCCTCTTGGCTTTTGTATTTTTTCAGGGATCGGTTTAATGAGTTGAAAATGAAATCTAGCCTGTGAAATATAAAATTTATTTATTTACTAGCTGTACCCACCACACATTGCTGTGGCCAACCTTCCCTCCCTCTTTCTCTCCTCCTTTCTTTCTCTCCTTCCTTCCCTCTTTCTCTCCTTCCTTCCCTTTTTTTCTTTCATTCTCTCTTCCCTTCTCTTCCTCCCTACTTTTTTTCTTTCCCTTTCTCTTTCTCCCCTTTCTTCCTTCTCTTCCTATTCTTGGACTGCAACTCCCAGCAGTCCTCCTGATCAATCTACCTACCTACCTACCTACCTACCTACCTACCTACCTATCTGTCTATCTGTCTATCTGTCTATCTGTCTATCTATCATCTATCTCTATCTAATGTATCTATCTATCTTATCTATTTCTCTTCACCCCTCAGGCTTCGGCCAACCAGCGAGCAGGGAGGGCTGGCCGGGTAGCTGCGGGGAAATGCTTCCGCCTCTACACAGCCTGGGCCTACAAGAACGAGATGGAAGAAACCACGGTGCCAGAGATCCAGAGGACCAACTTGGGCAATGTGGTGCTGCTTCTGAAAAGCTTGGGTATGGCTGGGGAAATCTAGGGTGGGGAATGATTTATGCATCCCACAAGGCCTACTAAGCCTTTCCTGGATGAGAACAGGAATACTGTAATGACAGGGAGATAATTTTATAGGCAGACTTGGAAGGATGCCTCGCCTGGGGTGGGGAAATGCTAACTGTCCCTGAAGCCTAGCTTTCATGTCTCACTCTCTTAGGCATTAATGACTTGATCCACTTTGACTTCATGGACCCACCGCCACATGAGACTCTGGTCCTGGCACTGGAACAGCTCTACGCCTTGGGGGCCCTCAACCATCTTGGTGAGCTGACCAAGGTACGTCTTAAGTTCCAGGCTGTGTTCTTGGGCAAAGTTCCTTTCACTGAAAGCATGCTGTATTCTCTAACTGGCCAACATTGAAAATAGTGCTGCAAACTGGAAATAAGGTTAAGGCTTCAGGTTCATGAAAGCTTCCAGTTACCTCCTAGTTCCAGGCTCCGAGGAGAAATAGAATTTTTGTTGGGTGAGTGGGCTTATTAACAAAAGACCCTCCCCATAAATGTATACCAGAGTATTGTTGAAGGCTTTCAAGGCCCGAATCACTGGGTTGTTGTAGGTTTTTCTGGCTGTATGACCATGTTCTAGAAGCATTCTCTCCTGACGTTTCGCCTTCATCTGTGGCAATCATCCTCACAACCTCTGATGCAAGTGAAACGTCAGGAGAGAATGCTTCTAGGACATGGCCATATAGCCCAAAAAAACGTACAACAACCTATACGTATAGCAACTTATTAGCAGCAGTGTGACCCAGCACCAAAGCTACAAATGATAAAAAGAACAAAAAACACACAGACCAATGTTACCTCTTTCTTAAAAGGCTTTTCTTTGTAGTAAAATGATATGGTTGCACTATTTATAATAGAAAGGTTTCCACAACACAAATAAAGTCCTTTATATTTCCTTCTTTGCTGCCACGCTGAGTTCGTTCCCATGCAGATAAACAGCTTCTCTCTCATAGAGCCTCTTCTCACATTAAACTTACACAGGAGCTTCACACAGGAGCTTTACACACAGCAGCCTTCACATTTGAGGCCTTCAACCTGGGGCTTCTCTCACACTGAAGCTTCTCACACCAGGCCTTCTCAAACTGAGGCCTACTAACACTGAGGCCTTTTCACAGTCTGAGGGTTCTCTCAGACTGAGGCTTTCTAACACTGAGGCCTACTAAGTTACAGACACACCTGCTTATATTGAACTGCAGCTTTTGCTGAGTCATTGCATCCATTTAACCCTTTCAGTGCTTGACTCACATTTTTGTAATTAAAAATACCTAGTTAATTTTTAATATTACTGACGATTTTCACATATTTGTCATGATTCATCCAAAGTTTGGAAAAGTTACTTTTTTGGATTATTTTTGAATTGTCATTGACCATGCTGACTGGGGGACTCTTATGAGTTATAGTCCAAAAACATTACCTACCATCTATCAGTGCATCCTGTAGATCAGTAGTTCTTAACCTGTGGCTCCCCAGGTGTTTTGGCCTACAACTCCCAGAAATCCCAGCAAGCTGTTAGGATTTCTGGGAGTTGAGGGCCAAAACATCTGGGGATCCACAGGTTAAGAACCACTGCTTTGTAGAACTGTCCTGAAACTACACTGCTGGAATGCCATGGCAGATTCACCACTGGCTGAATGACCCTCTGTCAGAAGTGCTTTCTTTTGTGTGTACCGCATGACAGGAAGTTGGTCTAGACCAGGCATGGGCAAACTTCGTCCTTCCAGGTATTTTGGACTTCAGCTCCCATAATTCCTAACATGGTAGGCTGTTACGAATTGTGGGAGTTGAAGTCCAAAACACCTGGAGGGCCCAAGTTTGCCCAGGCTCTTAGACTCACTTCCAATTCTATGATCCCCTGAAGATCTTACAAAGCAGGCAAGCCCATATGGGAAGATAAAGCCCTTTATATATCTCCTAGAAACATTCACATATCATCTGCTAGCTACTATTACTCATTAGTATTATGGGGAAGAATATTGTGATATTCTGTAAACCTATATATGTTTAAATCAGGAAACCCATAATGAGGACAATTAAAACTGAAGGGTACCATTCTCTGCAAGGGGAAGGGATTTGTCATCCTCAGTGGCAGCCATTGAGATCACTTGTCTCTGGATGAGGATAAAGTGCCACCCACACACTGACACACAGTGAAGCCAGCTATTGTGCCCTGTGTTTCATCCAGCATGATCTTCCTGTCTTCCTTATTTAGCTGGGCCGGAAAATGGCGGAGCTCCCAGTGGATCCTATGCTCTCCAAGATGATCCTGGCTTCTGAACAGTGAGTCCCAGTTCTCTGTCTTCCCGGCCAGTTAATTATGTGCTTAGCCTTGTTAAGTTCAGTAATCACGAGTGAGGCATGTGACCTCTATCTCTCTCCTCCTTGTAACTTAGTGCAGTCTCTTGTGCATTTATCCCAAGCTTCCCAAAAAATCTGGAACGGCTCAAAGGTTCCAGAGATAACTTTGTAAATCTAGTTCTACTTGCACAATATGCTTTTTTATTATGTTTTAAACCACCTTGAGGCCCCTCAGGGGTGAGAAAGATGGTATATAAATATACATATACATACACACACACACACACACATATATATATTACTATAAACATAATATATATGATTATAATCTATGTGTATATTTAAGTATATATTTGGGAGAGCGGAGATATTACCGTATATACTTGAGTATAAACCAACCCAAATATAAGCCAAGGGACCTAATTTTACCACAAAAAACTGGAAAAATGTATTGACTCAAGTATAAGCCAAGGGTGAGAAATGTAGCTGCTACTGGTAATCGTCAGTAGGTTAAATGTTTTTGAGTATTTACACAAAACTGTAATTTAAGATAAGACTGCCCAACTCTGATTCAACCATTATTCTAACCTCCTTCAATGTAAATGTGCTTACCTATTACCTATAATGATAGAATAAAATAATAAATATAATAACATGTAATAAAAATAATAATAGAGTAAATAATGGAAATTTAATAATAATAGTAATAAAATAATAAATGTGATAATAACAATAATAGAGTAAAATAATAAATGCAATAAATATAATAATACAGTAAAATAATGTAAATGTAATAAAGTAAAATAATCAATGTAATAAAAGTAATAATAGAGTAAAATAATGTCAATGTAATAATAATAATAATAATAATAATAGAGTACAATAATAAATGTAATAAAAATAATATTAATAGCAGAGTAAAGTAATAAATAACCTTGACTCGAGTATAAGCTGAGGGGATTTTTTTCAGTCTAAAAAAGGGGCTGAAAAACTAGGCTTATACTCGAGTATATACAGTACTTTTTCTCCAGTAATATAGAATCCTATTTACCGTATAAGAGTTCTTTCTCCCACCCTGGACATTCCACCAATATATAAACTTCACTTGCCTAGTCTCCAACGGACCTCACAACCTCTGAGGATGCCTGCCATAGATGTAGGCGAAACGTCAGGAGAGAATGCTCCTGGAATATGACCATACAGCCCAGAAAACTCACAGCAACTGTAATAATATTATTTATGTATTGTCAAAGGCTTTCACGGCTGGAATCACTGGGTTGTTATGTGGTTTCTGGGCTATATGGCCATGTTCTAGCAGCATTTTCTCCTGAGGGCTGGCATCTTCAGAGTATGCCAGCCTCATCTTCAGAGGAACCACAACAACCAACTTAATGTTATTTAGTTATAAATTAACATTTTCTTAGATTAGATATGATTAAGTAGATTTGTTTGGGAAATGTGGAGTCTCCCAATGCAAAAACCTCATCTGAGAGGATAATGTATGCGATTCAGTTTTTTGCCCAATATGTGTTCCACAGATTGACAGTCTTTCTGTAACTTTCTCCTTCTATTTCCTGAATCCTATAAAGACATGTTCACTTCCCCGTTGCTTTTCAGTGCTAGCTTCTTGGCTTGGATCCAGGCGGTTTTGCTGCTGCTCTTTTGCCAAGGCTAACCCAACCCTCCTTGCTTCCTTTTGGGGGGATTCTCCAGGTACAAGTGTTCAGAGCAGATTCTCACCATTGCCGCCATGCTTTCAGTCAACAATGCCATCTTCTACCGGCCCAAGGACAAAGTGGTCCATGCCGACAACGCTCGCATGAATTTCTTCCTGCCCGGTGGAGACCACCTTGTTCTTCTCAATGTTTACAGTCAGGTATGGAAGGAACTTGCAGATCTGGGGAGTCTGGAAATGGGGCCAAGAGAAGATGGCTGGAACCTTTTAGCCATCGATTTCTGTTAAACTTCAGGCTTGCTTAAGAAGACTGTCTCACCAACAAATTTAAGGGTGATGCTAAAATTCA